TTTAATGTTCGGCTCTGCCCGAACTTAGGCTTTCTTACTTGTTTTAATTCGTTTTGGTTCGACATTCTGCTATTTCATAATTTTTTCATTCTAATGTCATCCATCTTCCATTTCTTACCTTTCATTGCCGCTCGCATCGTCGAACGTGCCTGTCAAACACTGTNGGTAAGGTGAAAAACATATATTTAATACGTGCGCCGGGTATTTAATGTTCGGCTCTGCCCGAACTTAGGCTTTCTTACTTGTTTTAATTCGTTTTGGTTCGACATTCTGCTATTTCATAATTTTTTCATTCTAATGTCATCCATCTTCCATTTCTTACCTTTCATTGCCGCTCGCATCGTCGAACGTGCCTGTCAAACACTGTCGCCATCATGCTTTTCAGTTTGGCAGGCACGTCCGCTGTTAGAAAGAGAATAGACAACTAGTAATTTAAAAAAAAAAAAACCGACTCCAACTCTCATATAAAAAAAAAATATATATATGTAGCGTACGAGTAAGATGAGATGGAAATTTACTTCTTATTTTTCTTTATTACTTACAATTTACAAAATTTACAACTATAATATTTAATCGGAATATATTATAAGTGTGCTAGCTAGCTAGACGTCCGCCTCGTGTCGCAGTCAAAAATCCAGAGAGCGAGAGAAACTTCCGCGAAGAAGAATCTGCCGCTGTCCATTTTCTATTAAATTCAGCACTAATTCAGCAAGCAGCTGTCAGCTGTTTTTTGGTGGTTGCCACAGTAGCCCCCCCGAAGTGGGTTGGAGTTATACTCCGAGCTACTGATTTCGCTGTTTCCGCTTATGTGTTCGAGGATTACGTGGCAATCGATTACTGCTGGTTGTTGGCGCTGGTGATGCATTGCTTTCGTTGTTTTGTTTAGTTGGCGGAGATTCTGTCGTATTTTCAATGAACGCGGGTTTGAGTCGCTCGGTGGAGATTGTAGTCGAGCGTCCCTCCACGTTGACCCGAAAAACGAGGTCGCTGATTCGTTCGAGGACTTCGTATGGGCCCCTATATGGTGGTTCAAGTGGTTTCTTCATTTCGTCCACTCTAATGAAAACATGTGTTGATGTACTAAGAGTCCTATGTGTGAATGCACGCGATTTCGTATGATGAGCGGTAGGTGCAGAGCGTACCGTACGCATGAATTCGCGAAAATTCTCCACAAAACATTGTGCTTGAAGCCCCTTTTCTTCGTCGATGAAGTATTCGCCTGGAAGGCGTAGTGTTGTACCGTACAGCATTTCTGCGACGCTGGCTTTAATGTCCTCTTTAAAACTGGTTCGTAGGCCGAGCAGAACGACTGGAAGAATTTTGACCCAGTTTTGTGTAGAGTGGCACATGATGGCAGATTTAAGTGAACGATGCCATCGTTCAACCATACCATTTGCAGCTGGATGGTAAGCGGTCGTCCTTATTCGGTTGCAGCCAATAAGTTTCGTAAATGCAGCAAAAAATTTGGATTCGAATTGCGTTCCTCTGTCGCTGGTTACGGTTGCT